CAGGTCTAGAGTTTAGTAGGGCTTCGGAAGTTCAGGCGTTCTCATAACAGGATCCTACTATTTGGGTTTTTTCCTGACGGTCGTGTGCCTTGACCCTCCCGTGCCCCAGATTGGTTGGATGACGGCTCAAGGATTTGGGGTTTGGGTTTCAGACTTTGGGACTTAAGAGTTTCGGTAGGCTTTGGGCCTTGAGAAGCTGAGGCGAAGCCTGCGCTCTTTTGGGTGCTGGGAAAGTCAGGGGGGTTGCACGGCACGTCTCCTTATGTATGCGCGCATGACGTTTTGTTTGTATGCGTGCGTCTCTGCATGTGTGCGGAGTACAAAAGGGTCCCTTGGCCTCCGGCTTTGAGGCTTTGGATGGGTTTTGGTGGGCAGGGCAACAGGAAGTCCTTCAGAGGGCTGAGCCCCAAGCCTGAGACTGTTGGGATTCTTGGTTTCGGCCTTGGGTCTGGTGCGAAGTCTGGGGCCTTAGGTCTCGGAGTCGCTGGCAGAGTGGTGAAGGAATTTGGCTATTCGAGCTTCGGCCTGGGCCTAGCCCAAGCACCTTCCCCACACAGCGAGCGAGAGAGAGAGAGAGAGAGAACTCTAAACCTCTGCAAGGCAAGTTGCCAATACCAATGCTAGCGCTGTTAGACGTCTTGCAAATGGCCTAGTAGGTCCAATCTCAAAAAGCGCAAATATACACGCACAGACACGAGGACATGTGCAAACAAACATTACAGACATATGCATATACACATACATATGCACACATATATACATACACGCCAGGTACGTGCACCTACACCTGCACCTACACCTACACGTATACATACACATATGTGCTTATTCACATACACGTACATACATGCATGCATACATATACACACTAATGCACCCGCACAAACACGCTACTGAACCTCTCCTGTGCCTTTGATTCCTTCATGATATGTTTCACTTTTATGTTTGCATGACTTCGTAGGTTGTGTGCATGTAAGCATGTGAGTAGGCATTTCTGTCTGCCTGCCTGTCTCTCTGTGTATATGTCTGTGTGTCTGTCTGTCTACATGTCTGTCACGTCTGTCCTGTTTTATGGCTGTCTGTCTACATGTCTGTATGTAGGTACTTAGTGATGGTTAGGTAGCGCCGTTCCTCTACGAGCCAAGGTGGGTGGGTATGTGTATGTATGTGGAAAGGTGGGTATGTGCGTGTGCATGTGTTTGAGTGCGCATGTATGTAATGATGTCCGGACAAGCATTTAAGTCGAGAGAGAGAGAGAGTTAAAGTGGTGTAGCAAGCAGGTTGGTAGATAAGTCGTAGGCGCACACTGCACAGACATCTACACCGGCTCGGTGCAAGTTCAACATCTCTTGCCTGCCCTTCCTAGCACACCGGACTGGGCAAGACGATCCCTTAGTAAATGCATGCATAAATCTTCTGGTCGAAGGCTACCTGGCGACCATGTCAGACCAGGACGCACGGGCGGCCTTCCCAGGACCTCTGCCTGTGCGTTGAAGTGTTGCCACATTTACGGCTTCAAGGTCAGACTTGAGGTTTTGGGGCTTTTGCTGCTGCGTGGTCTTTCAGACTGGCGGGCGGTGCCAGAGCGAGGCCGGACCTCGATTCACCGTCTTCTGAACCTCAACAACACGCGCAGGAAGGCAGATACCTTTGTTGGCCAAGTTCCAGCTTGCGGTCAACAAGTGAGGCTTCAGATCAGATCGGCCACTCGGGTGTTTAAGTTATTCCCACAGACGGATTCTAGCTTCAGTATGAGCTCGTGGCGGTCTTAACGTTGGGACTGGAACGAATCTCAGGTCGAGGCATGGATCTGCAGTGCGCACCCATGCATTCCCACGCATCGTAGCGCTGAGATCCGGCTAATGACGCTGTCCTTACGTTGCTTTCTCCGAGGCTAAAGTGGGGAGAGCTCCGAGGCCTTTTGCCAGAGCACGGGTGCTCGACATCCCGCACCGTGTGGCCTCAGAAAGCGCGACTCGAGCGCGGAATTCACTCTCATCGAAGAGGAGCACAGACAGATGTTCAAGTGAAGCAAGACTTACTGACATCTGATATTCCCGACTGTCCCGGATGTGGTGTCCCCCGATCTGTGCTCCGTCCCTCTCTCTACAAAATTTAACAGTCTCACCGCTAGTTCATCTGGGATCGAGGGCGAAACTGACACCGAGGCTTTTCTGAATACGAGCATTGGTGTGACCGTTGTACCGGCTGGAAGGAGAGCCATATCTCAGTCCAACTTCAACCACGGCGCCGTTGAATGTTGAAAGTCCCGGAGGAGTAAAGCTCCCGATCCCCGGAGATAGAAAACCTCGGATTTGACTGCAGATGGCAATCTGCCTGCCCACAATTCTTCTGTGGAGGGTGCCAGTGCCGCATCTCTGTGTCCTGTGCCGTACTTTAGAGCTGAAGTCGGTGTAAGCCTGGCCCTGTCATGCTCAAGCGACCTCTTCTGCAGCGCACTGGCTTTGTTAAGGGCAGGGGGAACATGGGCCGAAATGAAGGCTTGCGCCGGAGAATCCGCTAATCAACAGCGGCATTGCAATCGTCCCAGATGCCTCAAGAACATCGTTCTAGCAATTTCGGCCCCTGTGGTAGATATCGCTATCGGGATGAGCCAGTCGACAATCCGCACAGAAAAAAGGACTGCGTGCCGGAGGGACGACCTGGAAAACCACACGCTGGTTTGGCTTCTGAAAAAGATTTCACGGGGGTCGGCATCCCGATTCGGGAGGAACTCTTCAACGTCTGTCAGGGCTGCCTGGGGCTCCAGTGGCAGAGACGGAGGCCCGAAGCGCACCGATTGGAAAGCCAAGTCCACAGTTCAAGCGCGAAGCTTCCAGAGTGAAAGCTTGAGTGGAGAGGTCCTTCCCGAAGGTTCGATTCTTTATATGCGCATAGGATCCCCCTGCCAGAACCCCAAATGAAGAGAGCCTGCAGACTGATCGGCCTTTTGCTTCAAGTCTGAGCAGCATTTTGCTTGAACGCGCGGGGCGTGGTCAAGCCATGGCGGCCAGGGCCCTGGCATGATGACCATGGTGGCGATGCTGATACCGCTGGTGTTCATCATCCTCTGGTCGTGTCCATGTGGTCGCTGTTACCTGGAGTGGACTCTGCCATTACTATGTCTTGCTATTGGACACCGTTATTATCATGAGAGAAAATGGTCACGTTTTGGAGTCCGGGAAGCCTGCGGAGACGAGCTTTTGCACTTGTGTCCCTAAACCCGGCAATGGCGCCAGAGTAGCACAACAATGGTTTACCCATACATACATACATACATACATACATACATACATACATACATACATACATATACTACTGCTGTGACGACGACGTCTTCCACGTCGCTGTGGCTTCGCATGCGACGACAACTACGAGCACGACACCTGAGAACTTGCACAAGTGCTAGCCTCCTGGGTCCGTGTTTCAAGACGGCTCGAATGGAACTACGTAAATGATCAACAACCCACACACCTGAATCCCCAGAAGCACA